TTAAAAATCATATAGGTCATATACGTAGTAACTAGAGAAATTTCAAATAAATTTTTTATTAAAATTTTTAAACAAACAAAAAGTATGACAGGTATAATAGTCCTTAAAAGTTAAGAAGTTAATTATATTTTTCATACCTTCTAAATTTATATATACTACGTAGTAAGTAGAAAAACTTTAAATAAATTTTTTAATTTTGAAAATAAAAAGTGTGACAAGTACATAATCTTATATTATATTTTTCATACCTTATAAACTTATTATAATACTTTTATTTGCTTGCTATTTTACTTTTTAACGACTGTCATGTTTTTATTAGAGTAAAAACAAAAATAATACAATCACATATTAGATAAGTGATAACGATTATGTACAGCCGGTACAATTGACAACGTTTAGTGAGCTTTGTTTTCGATTATTAAATTATATCCTACTGAAAAAGATCATGTAATTTAAAAAATCATCACAAGATATTAAAAATAATTTTATCTATCATATGATTTTAATTTTATAGTTATTAAATTTTAAATTTTAAATAAATTAAATAATTAAATAATTAAATGATAGAAATAGAAGAAAAAAATATTTTATCATCTAATTTTAAAATTTCATACATAAGAATGAAAATACAATCTATTTGTGCATAAAATTATAAGAAACAAATGTTATCAAAATTACCATTTTACCGCAATTTTATCGTAAGTAATTGTAAGATTGAATTTTACGGTATTTTTGCATTTCTCTAATCGTAAATGGTCTGAAAGATTCAGGATTCACACTTTTTTCTAATAAGACCATTAGTGTTGACGGGTTGCTTAACTTTGCGAATGGATCTTGTGAATTTGACGTGAATCAGAATACATTAAGTTTATTCTCCATTATGAAGATTGTTTTTTGTATTGAATTTTGTATTGAAAAAAAATGATCATAGTATGATCATAGTATAGGCGGAGAGATCTTGATATGATCAAATTATTGGGATGATTATTTTGAACGCGATGAAAGTGTTGTCGTAAATATATTAATGATTTTTTTATCGCGATATTAATAAGTTTTATAATTGCATATTTATAATTAATCGTAAATCCGAGTAATAATTGTTAGTATTTCTGCTTTTATATTCAATACGATTCAAAGCATAATTCTTATTGGATATCACTCGTCATCACTCATCCTCGTCATATTTAGGAATGAACTTTAACATTTTTACTATAATATACGTAACATAATCTATAGCTTAGAGTTATCTGGGCGTAATTCATGAACGCAGCCCAGTGCAATAGACAATAAGACTGGCATTCATCGTTGATTCTTATTTCCCAGACGAATTACATATTTTAAAAAATTTATTTATATTATTATTAATCCCAGATATTTAAATAAAGTATTTAATATTTCAAATGTTTGATCAAGATATTTGAATCAGCGTAACATGAAAATAAGTAAATATAAAAATTAATCAATCATTGATCTGAAATAAAGAATATTATGTTGGTTGACAAAATGCAATTTAAAAAATATAAAATGAATAGATTTTAATTAAAAAAATTCTCTTATCATCCCTTCCATTGCAATGAATCTCATTTGAACTGGTCGTGTGTGTGTGTGTGTGTGTGTGTGTGTGTGCGTGCGACTCATGTACCTTTCCAACCTAAAAAAATGGAAGCCATGAGTGTGGAGTGTAGCGATTTTTTAGAATTTCAGGTATTTTCGAAAGCGGGACTTACATAACACTTGTGCATTCGCACACCGCATTATACGAATATATCAAACATACATATATTTAACAACGCTTAAGTTGATTTAAAATAAAATATTAAAATTTTATAATTAATGCCGGCTAGTGGCTATTATCTTACATATTTATATGATACAAAAGAATTATGCTGTGCTACAAAGAAAGATTACTTAAAAATTAATGATGCGTAGAATTTCAATGTTATTATCAAAGTTACGTCTTTTTCTAGACGTATTTGTATGGGCAACTTTAGTGAGAGGTTAGGAACGTGTTTGTACGTGAAGTTAGCTAACAATAAGTGTAACAAAAATATATATATATATACATTATATATACATTTAAGTTCAAATATATAGTGTATCATTCACATTTCTATGTATACCTTATTTTCTATATATCTTATTTTTTAAAATATCAATATATAATTTTATTCAGATTATATTAGGTGTAGTAAAATGAAATCCATTATTTTTCCATTCAATTTCATGCAAAAATAATGGATTTCTTTTTACTACACCTAATATGTATAAATACATGATAAATATTAAAGTAAAATAAAAACATACAATATGTATTTCAGGATACGTTAAGAAAGATGCGACAAATAGATGATAAAATAATTTACATGCTGAACACTACAATTCCTACCGAATCCTTCAAAGGTCAGGTGGACCCTACCATGCAGTGTAAAGACTTGTTCCAGCAAATAGAATCCGAGCACAAGCAGAGGACACAAGCGATTATAAGATGCGTGGACATTACTAAGCAAAGAGTGATGCAGTTAAAAGATTTGAGAGAGAAGAATGGTGATGAAAATCCGACGTTAATAAAAAATTTGAGAAATGAACAAACCAAATTGAAGCTACTACGGTCTGAGCTTAATATAGAGGAAGTTGTAAAAAAACGTACAATACAAGTATATTACGAGAGGTGCCGTGGATTCTACAAACCATTACACATAAACGCATAGAATTTCCGAATAATCTGAACATATT